CAGCTCGTCAGCTGGGATCAAAAATGCAAACGTGCAAAAAAAGGCAGGAACTCGGCTCACAGTCTACGGCAAACAGAACCCTTGCAACTGCGCTCGATACCTGGGAAGTGGATTTGGGGGCTAATGGTTAAGATAATCAATTTCATATGGGAGTTTCTCAGATGGGGCGATTATATGGGTTCTATGTGTTATATAGAGAAATACCCATATTTCCCGGGCTCCGCTCAGCGAAAAGCTCCCAGCAAACGAGGTTGATGAAGAGGGACCTGAGAGGGGGGGTTAGTGGGAGGGGTTCTAGGGGCTGAAGGGCGTGGAGTTGCAGACACGGGCTCGAACGCTCAACCCTACTCCTAGTAATTCCTACCCCTTCCCCGGCAGACGGCACGCTCACTTGATACCTGAGGGGTGGAGTTTTGGGGTAAATTGATCCACCCCCCAGGCTCCACTCGGCTTCTCTCAGAGGCCCTCCATCTGAGCTTCAAACGGGACAAATGAGCGTCTCCAGCATCAGCTGAGCCTTGGTTGTGCATCCGCGCCGCTTGGGGTCGACCAACATCGAACCTAATCCGCGCTCCCGCTCATTCCCAAGATTCGTCACGATTGTCAGGGTTTTGCGGGGTCCGAATGACTTCATGAGTCTCTCCCGTGCCTTCTGACAGCAATCACCAAGCCTCTAACAGAGACAAACGCATCCCCGAATCCCCGCTCTACTTTTGCAATCCACAGCAAACCTGAAAAGGCATGAGGGTTTCGCAGCTGGCTGACAACAACCATTCAGAGGCTCCTTGAATTGACTTCACTGCGAGCCCCGACTCACAACCATGCCCTGCTGTGCCTGGGTTCACTCCAGGCTTCGGCCATGGGTTGAGACGAGCCAGCCCCTGACAGCTTCAGGATGCAAAGACGCGAGACGCAAGTCACAGCAAGCGCTGCAGACACACCCCAGATCTCTCCGCAGCATAGTTTTCAACTCAGGCTATTGAGCGTCTTCGGAATCTGCACGACCTGTACACAAACATTGTCAAACAACTTTTCTGGACCCGCCATGTCCATTAGCGCGTTGTAATCGCTTCTGTTCGGTGTGAATTTTCCAGGATCTCCTGTAATGAGAAACGTGAGAGTGAAACCGTGGCTTTCCTCAGTGTTGTTGAACATCTCCTGCAACTTGTTGCGAAAGGCCTTCGCGATGGTGTGCGTGTTGGAGTTGGTCACCTGGATGCCGTGGTTGAAGTCCAGCAGGTAGTCGATGCCCGGGTAATTCTCTGGGCTGTGCAGAACACGTCCCTCTAGACTGGCTTTCTGCACAGCCTCCCGCCATCTGGCATCAAAGATTTGATCGGTGTCACACTCTAGAAGCTGCAAACCCTTCTCAACCTCGAAGGCTTCGCCGAGGCTGCGGTTCCATCTGGACTTTTTAGCAGCTGGCGCACTGGTGACCTCACAGGCTGTAAACCCTTGTTTGCCCGGCCAAAAGGCTGTCAAAAGCGGGCCTACACAGTCCTCAAGCCCATACCTCGACTTTGGATTGTTTGCATTGCTCCACAGCGACACAAGCTTGTCATAGTGCTTCTCGACAAGCAGTGCGGCAGCGCCAGGAGAGCAGATGGAGACATTGCTTAAGATCCCATCTGCGCTGCGGTATGTGAAGAGCCTGGTCGGCATCTTCTTCTCTTCAAAGGTGCTCAAATCACCCTCAAAGGCACGCTCTACTGTCGTGAAGTCCTTTGCCTCGACCCTCTGCAGCTGGACGGCTCGTGTGTAGCCCGCGACGTTTGCCAGAAGGGTGCGCAGAGCACCTCCGACTTGCTGGAACCTTTGGCGCATATCCTCCTGGTCAACCTTAGTCTCCAACTGTGGATAGCACGCTTCCACCTCGGCCCACCTGAAAGCTTCAACGAAGACACACTCGCCGTCTTTGACGAAATTCGAATAGTGTTCCGGGTCTGGGCTGCAGGCGATCACTGTCTTGGCAGCCAACTTGAAGGTGGTCTTTCTTTTATCGGAAGCATCCACTAAGTACCAGTTCTTGGAGTTTCGCAGGTGCGGGCAGCCTGATGGGCTCCAATTTTGCATGTCGCGGCTCTGCGCCTTCCACTTGCCATCCTGGCCCTTGGTGAAGAGGAAGACTGCCCCACCCTCCCGGGCTTCATACACGATGGCCTCGGGCTGCGGAAGCCCGTCCAGCTGCTGGCCCGTCACCAGGTGCCAGAGGCCCAGCGCCAAACTGCGGCTCTTCCCGATGCCGGGGACGCCCAACATGGCCACGCGCTCGATGCCGCCCTTCATGAGCTCGAAGGTGGCCTGCCAGGCTTGGCGCGTCGTGTTGCGCGTCAATAATTTGGGCCCGCTCTGGTCGTAGGGCTTTGCGGGCAGGGACTTCGTGAGGTTGAAGACCTGCACGCCTGCAACAGTGGCGCAGACAAAAGAAATCATCCACCCCAAGCCCCCAAGCGGCCTTCACCCAAGGGCTCTGGCGTAGCCTCGGCCAGCTCCCGGATGAACTCCGTGGCTTCCGGGTCGTCCTGACGAAGAGCTGCACTGCAACTTCCCCAGTGACCCCAAGGCACCCCTCCACTCGCGCTGAGGCCCCCACCTGGAATCCGCTCGCGGCCATTGGCGGGGCAGACACCGCAGCAATGCGCTTGGCCAGGACTTCAGCTGGGCCCATGAGAATGCCAACCGTTCGCATCTTCTCCGCAGTCAACTCCAGGAGCGCGGTGCCCTTCACCTTCTGGGACTTCAAAATTCCAGCAATCTCCGGCGCTTCGTCGGCGTAGTTCTCCTCTTCCAAGGCCGCCCGGACCCAAGAACTGACCTGCCATCCATACTCGCAGACTCGAAGCTCAAGCAAGAGACATCGCAAAGCGCCTCAGCCACTCCAAACTTCTGGATCTTCGCAGTTGTCTTTTGCAGCCACTCGGCCTGCGCCAATGGGCACAACCTAAACAATGCTCCAGTCTGCGAGCCTTCACGGACAGCCCGCCTGATCCAAGCCTGCCTTGGCCTGCAGGAGCCGGGCAGAGCTACCAAACCCAAACCGGCAAGAACACAAGCTCCCTAAACATGCCTCTGTCGCTGTGCGTTCCACGTCCTCGCTGGAGGATGCCTGACAAGTTGAAGCTGCAGTGAGCGCACGAGGCGTGCAACACACAAGTAATTAACCAGGATCACAGTAGCCATTGCTGTGTTTGAGGCTTCGAGTTTCAAAGTTCTAGCTGGCACGAGCAGGCACAAGCTCACTGAAAACAAGCCATCAAATAAGTTGCTCACAGTACCTGAACAAGAACCTCCATGTCCATAGAATCTACGGAAACGCAATCAACTGCCAGCGGCTTAAGAAATCCCCGGCCTTCAGCTTCAGGGCGGTAGCGTGGAGTCGCTCGAGGGCACCAGCGCTGCTGGCCGCTGTCAACGCGAGAGCCCAGCGAGAACCAGCTAGACCAAGCCAGAGGCCCGCGAGCAGTAATACCGTGGTGCCAACTTTTCCACCACGCTTTGCCATGATTATCTTGTTTCAGCCAAAGCACTGCGCACCAGCACAGCACAAGCCAAAAACTCTGAATAACGAACTTCCCATAGCAGAAGCTCTATCTAACAACAGCCCAAGCTGCTTGAGAAGCATCCTGGCTTCGGCATCATCTATGCACGTGCCCGGCAACAAGCAAGGCAAGAAAGCGAAGCAGCTCGGCAACAACACCCTGGCACGAAAGCCTTCTTGGCATCTTTGACCGGGTCAGCAGTCCGCGCTGGGGCCTGCAAGCGCAAGACCATCCCAAGCAACCCCTCAAGCTCCTTGAAATTCGTCTGGCTCCACAAACTTTGCAACACAACTTCGACCGGTCCTGCCTTTCGAAATCTGGGAGCTTTCGGTGCGCCTGGCAGGGCTTTTTGGCAACTGCACTGCAGCAGAAAACTGATGCAAGCTCCAAGCCTTGAGCCATCAAGCCGGGCCATGCTGCGCCATGATTCCTTCCAAGTGGCCGCATCACCTCCAAACAGCAGCAATACGTGCAAAGTAAAACGAATAACCGAACGTAACAGGAACATGCTCGCGCACGAACAACCGAAGCGCCTGCCCACCTCTTGGGGCCCTGCTTTCGCAGCCTTTGTAAGAGAAGACATCATCGCCCAGCCTGCGGCCGAACAGCTGCGAGCAAACAAAAACACAAAAATCACCCGCGCGCAACAACAAATCACTGGAAAAATCCTGCAAAAAAACTCCACACAAAAATGCCCACGAAAAACTTCCCACGAAAACGACATTCTGGTGGAAAGTCTGGCAAAAACAGATAAGCAACACGCCTACTTGTTAACATCGTCGAGACCCTCTTTTCCATTGCTTCCTTACAATCGGTTCCAAGTCGGACGCTTACCGTTGCACTACAGGTAGCCGATCTCAACAAATCAGCTGGATCTCGCCCACCAAACGGTTGAGCGCAAACGGGCTGCACAAATGACAAAAAAAGTCTCAGAACAAGGCGGATTTTCAAACCCATGCTCCCGGACTCAAACCTCTGCAAGCGAAAATCAAAATTAAGCAAGTTCTTTCCCAGAGATGTGGTCGCTTCACTGAAACATCAAAATCAAGCAGCAAGTAGAATACTCCAACTCAAGCATGCCAAATTTCAAGTGGGAAAAAGCCCTCCAAGTCAAGCATGAAAAAATCTGTGGAAACCTGCACCTCAACACGTAAAAATCGTGAGAAGCTCCAACGCTCAAGCATGCCACAATAAAAAACTATGCACATGTACCGTCGAAAAATTATAGGGGCTTATAGGGTTACGGTTAAGGTTTCGGATGTTTAGGCTGGGGCTTACGCGGCTTTTGCTTCTCTGCGCGAAGAACGGTTGCGGCTGCAACGCCCAGGCACCTTCGGGGCCGGTTCGGAAAGTCTGGAGACACGATGCTCATGATGCAAAATCTCAGGTGGAGGGGGTGCCCGACTGATACAGGGCTCAATGGCTGGGTCATCAGTAACCAGCCGCCCCCGATGAAGCCTGAGTCGGGCCCGCCGCTGCCCGGGAGCCGGGGAGGGATATTCCCTGGCTCTGAAAGCTCGGTTGGGGCACTGGGCCCCAGGGCTCGGCTCGCCGGCCCAAAGCCAGCAAAACCAACCCTGTGCGGGAACGAAACTATAGCCTTTTTTTGCCAGGTTTTTCCGTTTTTCCAAAAAAAGGCAAGCCACTCCAGCACCCCAAAGCAGCAAACCCGTTTGGCACGTCTGGCACGCTGCCACGCGGTCGGTGTGCCAAAATTTTGGCACGCCCGGCACGCCGGCACGTTGCCACGAAACTGGTGTGCCAAAATGCCGGCACGCCCGGCAGCACACTTCCCCGCGGCCGCGTGCCAACTGTGCCGGAATTTTGGCACACCTCCCTGCCAGTGTGCAAATTGTGCCAAAATCTTGGCACACCTCCCCGCGGCCGCGTGCTAGCGTGCCAACTGTGCCAGAAGTTTTGGCACACCACCCTGCGGCCGTGTGCCAATGCGCTGGGCGTGCCAGAATTTTGGTGCCAGCGCGCCGCGGCCGTGCGCCAGTGCGCCAACCGTGCCAGAGTTTTGCCACACCGCTCCGCGGCCGGGTGCCAGCGTGCCGGACGTGCCGGAATTTCGGCACCCCTCCCCACGGCCGTGTGCCAGTGTGCCAACTGTGCCAGAATTTCGGCACACCGCCCCGGGCCGTGTGCCAGTGTCCCAACTATACCAGAATTTTGGCACACCACCCCGCGGCTGTGTGCCAGTGTGCCAACTGTGCCAGAATTTTGGCACACCTCCCCGCGGCCGTGTGCCAGTGCGCCAACTGTGCCAGAATTTTGGCACACCACCCCGCGGCCGTGTGCCAGCGCGCCGGCCGTGCCGGAATTTTGGCACACCTCCCTGCCGCCGTGCGCCAGTGTGCACACCGCCCCGCGGCCGTGCGCTAGTGCGCCAACTGTGCCAGAATTTTGGCACGTCACTAGGGGGCCGGAATTTTGGCACACCTCCTCGCGGCTGTGCACACCTCCCCGCACAGCGTGCCGGAATTGGTTCACCTCCCCGCGGCCGTATGCCAGTGCGCCAACTGTGCCAGACGTTTTGGGCGGCCGCGTGCCAGCGTGCGCCAGAGTTTTTTGGCACGCCTCCCCGTGGCCGCATGCCAGCGTGCCGGGCGTGCCGGGATTACTATATATAACCGTGCCTAAAGCACGCTCAGCAGCTCGGAGCTGGTGGCCCGGCTGGCGCCGACGTAGAGGTGCCGCAGGTTGAAGTGCTGCGTGCCCGCATCCAGCAGCCACACGCGGCCGCGGAGCGTCAGCCCCTGGCAGCTCGCGTAGGTGATGGCGTGGCAGAGCCGCGTGTGCCGCAGCAGCTCGGCGTGGGAGAACTGCTGCCCGTCCAGCGCGACGCGCTCCGCGTCCGCCTCGGCCACACGCACGAAGGTGCCCTTGGCCACCTTGCCGCCGGCGCCCACCAGCCGCAGCCCGGGCCAGACTCGCATCGTCTGCGGGGCGTTGGTCGTGGGCGCGCCCGGCGCCTGGTGCTCGATCATCACAGCGTCCGCGGGCGCAAGGCGCCTGTTCTCCCGCTCGTTGATCTGAACCCGGCGGGCGTGGGAAAGCACCAGGCACACGTCGGGGTGCTGGCCCGCCGGCCGCGGGAACTCGCGGCGCGCCACCCTCACCGCCTCGGCCAACGGCACCTCCTCGGCTTCCCCAACCCGAAGCCAGCTGATGAACTGGAAGATGCGCTCGTCCGAGCGGCGGTTCTCGGTGAGCTCGTGGCAGTAGCCGGCCGCGAGGTCCCGCAGCAAGTCGCTGTCCTTCAGCGGCCGTTCCACGCGCGCCCCGGCGAAGCTGTCCAGCACCGCCGGCAGTCCTCGACCACCAGCCAGTCGAGCT